TTTCCCACCACAGTGAACACATCCACAGGGAGGAGCCGGCCCAAGGACAAAGAGGTTGGTGGAAACCACACTGTGGTACTGACCCTGCAAAATACAGACACGCTTCTGTCAAAATCAGGTGCCGAGTGTGCTGTCAAGGACCAAGCGGGTCTCTTGTAGACCCTCAGCGCCCTCACCTCCGCAGCGGCGCCCGGCAGAGCCCCGTGACTCAGGCCGCTCAGCCTGCACTCATGCCAACTTTCCACTCCCCGGGAGCAAAAGCAGGCGTGCCCTCCCTGTTCTTTTTCTATTGTAAAAATTAGTTTGGTTATTGGAAAAAGAAAAAAAGAAAGATGGCATTTATAGAAAAGGCAGCTCAGCATAAAAGTGAAATGTTTTTTTTTTTCTGACAGTCTTTTGTTCCTTTTCGTAAAAGATGCTTTTTTTCCCATGAGCCATCAGAAGGGCACAGATACCAGAGATCTTAGAGAAGTGCACGCACGGGTGTTAAGAATGAATTTCGACTAAGGTTGAACAGGACAGAGAATAGTAAACACAAAATGTGCAAATAATTAGATCATAAATATGGAATTTTTAAATAAATGATGAAAAATCATAATAATGTCAAACTGTGGTAGGGAAATGGTATTTGAGTATCTGAGGGAAGGCATTTACACTTGTATTCATTAAATTATGTACCTGCTTCCTGTCTGAGTCTGCTTACGTTAGATTCTAATTTATTTTCTCAGGATGCAAACCATCTTCTGTGCTAAAATCAGCTTAGTATCAGCTAATGGAATTTCCCCCTTCTTGGTTTCATTCACCAGAGGTGCTTAGCACTGAAGGGCGTCTGCCAGAAACAGCAGGAACTTCCCCCCACCCTCAGCGTCTCCCCAGAGCCCTGCCTCGCCAGAAGCTCCTCCGCTCTCCCCACTCCCGCCGCCAGCACGCCTCACGGCTGCTGGCGCCCAGGGCGCTCCAGGGCCCGCTCCTGCCGCGTGGAAACAGCACCGACTCCTCCAGCGGAGAAGCTGCTCCGTGTTTCCTAGCACGTCCGCGTCAGGGAGAGTTTGCTCGCACCCCCAGGAGCCCACAATCTCTAATTTGAGCAAAGCTGCCTGAAAACTTAAATGTGGTCCTGATTTGAGAATCCGTTTGATGCCAAAACAGCTAGCGCATCAGCACTGACGAAGGGCTGATACGCTAAGGCGTTACTTGCTTTTAAAGCAGTCATCTCTGCGAACCTGAAAATGCCTGAAACCGAGAGCAAGCTTAGAAAAGGACGACTGTAAATGGACGGAAGTGCTCCGAAGAACCGTAAAACTGAGAACGTGAGAGAGAGAAACATCGAGGCGCCATCTTACACCCATCAGGCAGACAGAAATGAACAAGATGGGTTAATAACCAAGGGTTGGGAAGGATGTAAGGAAACTGGGCGTCTTGTGCCCTGCTGGGGCGGAGTCAACCCGGTGTGGCCATTCTGGAGAGGACATGAGTGAATCAGAGTTAGTGAGATTCAACAGATGCGTGCCCTCGATCCACAGCCCCATGCGCGGTGTAGGACCCACAGCCACCCTTGCATGGGGCTGTGCGTAAACATGCATAAGAAAAATCATCTCAGCGGGGAGGGTATAGCTCAGTGGTCGAGCTCATGCTTAGCATGCACAGGTCATGGGTTCGATCCCCAGTACCTCCATTAAATTAAAAATAATCATAATAAATAAATAAATCAACCACCATCCCCACCCGCAAAAAGGAAAATCATCTCAGAGCCGTTAGTGTGAGCGAGAAGATGGGAGCGATTTAACTTTCTGTAATTAAACAATGGGGATGAAATGGATACACATGCTTATCACGAAACGCGATGCAGCAATGAGGACAGACGTAACATACCAACAACGGCGTAGACGAGTTTTGTATCAAGTGAAGTATCTGGAACTCTTAGGGAACCTCTGAAGGAGTGAGATTAGGGATTTGAGCCACCCCTGTCTCCTTCAGGCAACAAACCCAGTCTTCTTTGATCATTTTGAATCGGGGTCTTCATTTCTGCCATATTAAAAAGAACTTAGAATCAGAGTGGCTTTCTCAATAGTATGTTGTAAATCAGAAAATCGTAGAGCAACCACTAAAAGGTAGACCACGGGGACAGAACCGAGAGCCAGAAATAAGCCCGTGCGTATGCAATCAACTGACGGAGAAGGGGACGGAGATAAGCCAATAGCAGGGGCTCCAAGAAGCAAGGGAGGCTGCCACCGGCAGAACATTACATTTAAACTACCTTTGTAGAAAACGGCGGAGCCTCTGGAAAATGCTGTGGACCTCCCAGCAGAGCCTGGTTTTAAAAGCCCTGGTCTGACAGGTGAGCACTGGGGAATAATTTAGAAAGGGATTTGTAATGAGTTCATAGTGTCCTTTTTTTTTTTTTTTTTAGATTCTACATATGAGTGATCTCATATGGTATTTTTCTTTCTCTTTCTGGCTTACTTCACTTAGAATGACATTCTCCTGGGCCATCCGTGTTGCTGCAAATGGCATTATTTTATTCTTTTTTTTATGGCTGAGTGGCACACGGAACTATGTTCAATATCTTGCAATAAACTTTGATGAAAAAAATATGAAAACGAATATATGTACGTATATGCATGACTGGGACATTGTGCTGTGTGCCAGAAGTTGACATGTTGTAACTGACTGTACTTCAATTTAAAAAAATAAATAATAATTTAAAGAAAGAAAGAAAGAAAGAAACAAGAAAGAAAGAAAGAAAAAGAAAGAAAGAGAGAAACAAAGAAAGGAAGAGAGAAAGAGAGAAACAAAGAAAGGGAGAGAGAGAAAGGAAGGAAGGAAGGAAGGAAGAGTCGGGAAAAAACGGGATTTGAACCCTCGTCCTGTCTCAAGGACACATGCCCGAGCAGTATTCTGCGCATCCAGAGATGAGACCCACCTCTCAGGACTGTTTAATGAATTAAATGAGATTATACACTGGTGAGCCCTTGAGGACATCAGGCGAAGTGAAATAAGCCAGTCACAAAAGGATAAAGGATGTGGGATTCCACTGAGGCGAGGTACCGAGACCGGTCATACTCAGAGAGACAGAAGGAGGAATGGTGGTTGCAGAGCTGAAGGAGAGGGGAACAGGGAGTTGTTTAATGGGTATGAAGTCTTGGGTTTGCAAGATGTGAAAGTTCTGGAGAGCTGACACAAACCACGGTGAATACAGTTAACACGCTGGACTGTACGCTCAGAGATGGTTAAGACGGTACGTCTTCTGAAACTAACATCGCAAAC